GGCATAACAGCCGTAGAGGGTAAAAGCGGCCCTGGTGGCGTAACGGATAGCGCACTCGCCCGGAAAGCGTGAGGTGCGGGTTCGACTCCCGCCTGGGGCACGACTTTTGCCCATAACTCAGCATTCTTGTGATAACTTTTTTATTGAATCGTTCACTGAATGCAAAAAAAGATCAGTAAGTAGCACTCAAAAAGCTCCCGCGATCAGCTTTCGCAGGTTGTAAGGCTCAGAACTGTTAGAGCAGGTGAATGTTGTGGCTGTGGTAAATGAACTATTAATCTAGAACAAAGCAAAAAAAATTTGTCGCAAGAACACAGAATAAGGCCCTACTCAATTGAACGCATTCGGACGAGTTTTGCAGATTTTATTCAGCTTTCCAAAACCCACCGCTGCCTCGTTGCGCTAATTCTTATAAGGCCATTACTAAGGTTGTTTGAGTGTGGATCTATCCAAACTACTATGTATCTATCTGATCTGATCTAACTAATCTAATGTATCTATCAGTTTATCTATCTAGCAGTGGACGAAAAGAACGCTAGAAATTCAGCGATTATCAATGCTAGCGAGAAACTGATAACGGAAAATCAATCGAGGAGGGACTAAAACGCGAGGAGGAGTCAGCCTATCAATGTTGACTCCGCCCATTTATCAAGTCGCAGGAGTGGGATATGCTCCGTGGTTGCAGACTCTGAGAGCTTGTTCAGTGGAGGTTTTTTTCCCTTGGCTGATCGCGGGCGCTGTCTCTGAACTTCATCAGACGGTATACAACTCATTAAGATGGCCATATTGACCAACCATCCCTTGTCAGTAGAACGTTTCAGGGAAAATTCTCGAAAGGGGCTTTAAGGCGCTGAAGAACGCATTTTGTTTTCACGCAACAAGTCAAAAGCGCATGAAAAGCATGCATGAAAGACAGACAAGTGCGTAAGACTTTCACAATATTCATGCAGTGATTTCGCATGAGCATTCTCCAAATCGCAAATTCACCATTCTCAGGGAAGATGATCTTCGGTTCCTCAACCTTGGTGCATTTGAACCGCGATCTCGATATGGATGCGGAAGGAGAACTCTCGCCTGATGATTCAGTGCTAGTCTTCGGTGATAAACCCGCAGGTTTCCGATCTTGATCGTTATCGGCAGCATCAGATGATCGACGAGCCGACTGCTGACTATGAATCGTGTCCATTTCTTGAATGTCAGACAGCAATCCTAAAGTAAATTTTTCCTGGAAGGACAGATGACTAGGCATAGAGATTACTTTATCCGCAGTTACAGCTTATGAACCGAAAGGAATACAAAGATGCTATCGATAACACGCACCTTGCAGTGGCGTTAAAAAAACATACTATTCAAACGTGCGGCTTGTTGCGAATCTTCCGAGAGTGATACTTTTCTGCTTTCATTTCTCGAGGTCTTGCGAGAATTCGGTGAAGAAGCCGCCTAAATCTTAATGACTTACTCATAGATGGTATCAGCCTCCTCAAGAGTAACGCAGATGGATAAGTACAGTTCTCTTTTTAAAACAACGATACCTCCTGGCGCCCGCGCCACAGGCGCCAGCAACAAAATGACTTAAATCACCAAATTCGCTGAAAGCTTGTTCCCACGGGTAGTTTGACCTCCTCAATATAAATATCACATGCGCTCGGCACAAAACCTCCTGGCGCTAGCGCCACAGGTGCCGGCACCAAAATATGCCAAATCACCGTGCCTGTGGCGCGGGCGCCACGAGGTTTCTGGGCAAGCGAATGTGATATTCGTATTCAGGAGGTCAAACTACCTAAGATACAACATTTGAGCCAAATCTGTCCATGGATAAAAAAGTCGGTCAAAAACTGGCTTGATTTCCGATGACTGGGGCAGTAAAGGCTAGTGCCGCGAAGTGACACACGTGTTGTGGGATTTACCACTGAGCAAGCACGCCAAGATGTCCAAAATATGAAATGGGAATCGCCTTCCAAGCATTTCATGCTTCACTTTATTAGTTATCGATTACCCTTAACATTGAAAGTGAATGTTCACGCTGATCATAGGCTAATTTTTGAGTTGTAAATCTTTTAGGGAAGACAAAAAGTGCACTCACAACAAGTAGCCATTTCAAGACCCTGTTTAATAAATCACCTTAAAAAAGTGACAGGTAGATGATTTCAACTAACTTCGATTTCTTTGGCTTTGTCCATTATCGCTTTTCGCTCCTGCTCCAACACGGTGCTTCTTTTCGTTCCTTTGTATATGAGCCATAGCAAAACCGACAATGCCAGCGGTATAAGCGCTGCTGGTAAACGTTCGATGAAAATGACAGTAGTCGTTTGCAGCTGTAATGAGAGAAAAACATTTTGCAGTAAATCATTTCAATTTCTTGTGTGTTTTTGACAGCGCACTAGAAGGAAGATAAAAAAAGCGTGATTTCTGCTCATGTCATAAGTCAGCCAGAGCATAGATATATCATAGAGGGGGTCAGTTAGCCTGTCGTCACGTCGTTCAGTTAATCCCTACGTAAGTATGGGGCCCGCAATGAAAATCGTGGTTCAGAGCGGGCGGGGTCATTCTGCATCTTCACTGCTTCCTATTGTCGTGTAAAGCCATCAAGTAGAGATCTGAGCAGATTTATAAAGTCATGAGGTGACCCGGTCAAAGTTCGTGGAAATTGCTTATTAACATTTGAAGTGTAGCTGTCAAGTCTTGCAACAATGAACACGACAAGGACAAACAGCGAAAGTGAAAAATGTTCCCTCCCCTCCTCCTCTCGCCGCCGCACTTCGCCAAAAACACAATTGGCTCATGGGGCTTACTCACTTACTGGGGATTTACTTCGCATGAAATGATGGCCAAATGGATAATGTGGTTACTCATTCACTGACTTAAACCCTTGTATTCTCGGAATCTGCCGAACCAGCGAACCCCAAACTCTTGAAGATAAACTTGGCTCAGGGCCGGATATCAAAGAGCACTTCAACAATCACATCAACGTTGTCCTAATAGTTCGATCTGGAATCCGAACGACATTCTCTTGAATCCTGCGCGCGAACCAATTGTGGCGGCTCCTCACAGCGGAGCAACTGAGGAACGTCCCAATTCGGACCTGCTATGAACACGCTTCCTCCATAACGCTGTCCGACGTAAACATGATAATGCGCGCCATGAACAAAAAGCTTTTTTTTTCAGATGGCTGTATGAATTCTTGTGTTTCCTTCCCAATTATCCCAAAGCAAAATTTATTTAAACGCCAAACTTTCATCACGAGGGTGCTGACTTATGGGTAAAAGTCGTACCCCAGGCGAGGACTCGAACCCGCATATCACGCTTTTCGGACAATTGCGCTAACCGTTATACCATCAGGGACGCTCTTGCCTCTCACTGTCAGGTATTTCAGGTACTGTGACAAAGGAGGGACTATTTCATGATCACCCACTGGGATTAACTAACGTCCGTTTCCATTTGACCCAGGTCGTCCCCAAAACGATGATTCTGGGACTAGAGGGAATCAACCTATTCAACTCCTAAAAATTAATATTGATAAATAAGGCCAATAGATTTTCGCCAGAAACACTTTGCGTACGCGCGGCTATACAAAAAATGGCTTACAAGCGTCCACTGAAACAAGTTGAAAGATAGCAAAAATGCAAAAACGCATCTCAATGTACACCGTCGTTCGCTATACTAGTTCAACGTTTGTTATCAGAAGTTTCAAACTACTCAACTCAGGGGGACAGTTTATCTGGTGGAATGTCAAGGATGCGGGCAAAAATATGTGGGAGAAACTGGGAGGCCCCTATACAAACGGATCGACGAACACCGGAGGGCGCTGGGAAATCCACCTTCTTACCCTAATAGCAGTTTCTCCCGGCATCGCATAATGGAGCACCCTCACCACGGTAACCCCCTCTTAATGGTGCTCAAAAGTAACGCCTCGGTGTAGAGAGCGCCCATGCGAAGAAAATATTGGAGGGCTTGGAAATAAAAGACGGCATAAACAGCACCCCAAATAAACCATAGGGAGGAACTACGTGACATTATGCAAGTCATAATGTGATCGCGTCACATCCCACTATTTAAGGGTGTGGTTAGGGTGGGTTGGCTAATTTGCCAGGATATTTCGGTAAGTGCCTCGTATGGGGGAGTCCGTGCGGTTACATCTCTGTAGGCTCATATTCTGCATAAAACAAGCAAAATAATTTCAAGGCCCTGAAGAAAGGTTGCTATCTCGCACCGAAAATATAGCCAGATCTAAGATTATATTTTAAAACAACTTTTGAGACTCATTGATGCCTTGTGAGTTTATTGGAAAAAATTTCTTTTGTTTTGGAGTTTCAGCAAGGTTGATACACATTCAGATGAGTAATGAGACTCCGGGACAGCACCATACTCCGATAAAAAAATAGACGCCAACAAAAAATAAATCTGTCATGCACACATGATCAACAAACTGGATTGTTCAAGAAGACGGTGTAATCTGGTCTTCGGTCGTTAATGTTCTAACATTAACCAGTTTTAGAGAGGAAGCTTGTTTTCTTCAAATGTCGTACACAAAAGCCCACTCAGGGTTTGGAAAAGAAACGTCATACAGTCACTACACAAGTTCTCTTGCATTACAAGATGGTTGACGATTTTTTGATCGAAGAGTCAAACAATAAACGGCTCTATAATGATAAACCTTGTAAGGCAATAGTAATAAGGCTCATAATCTTACGCTAAAGTTTCCAACAGACTGAGAGCCTGGAGTTACGCAAAAGCATATTATATTTTTTGAGGTATAGGCCGGCTCCGCATAAAAGGTTCTTATATTTCACTTCAGATCAAGTCAGTTTTTGCTCGCTAAGCAACAAAAATAAAACCGATGGCTGTGCAGCAAAGGAGGGCGGGGGAGGGGTGGGAATTTTCAATGGAAACTCCTGTAAACCCCAGTAAAGCGTTTAGCGCAGTACAAAACGTTTTCACTCAAGTTGCAAGTTGCAAGTCAGAATGGAGGCTGAGCTACCTCTCCGCTTACGACTCCCTCTCCTATTATTTCTCATTTATTCAATTTTTCAACATATTCAGGTGAATGGAGCACTGGCAAGTGACACGCTTACCACGCGCAAGGCCCATGCCTCGAATCCGCAATGAGCTCCCGCTCAGGCCAAACAGAGCCTTCTGTACTCGTGGGACGGTGAATTGGTGCTAGATCCGCTATGGAGTGCAAGTCCACTGACTTGTATATTGGCTGGTCCCCGCACGTCATTGTATAGGTCACACTGCAATAGGCTACTTCGGTTCTGAATGGAGGTAGAATGCGTGCCCCATCGGTTGATCAACGGCGAAGTCAACAATTTTTTTGATGAACAAACCTAATTTCCTAGCTTACAATCTTTCCTCGGACAGAGAAAACAAAGTAGAATTGGCCTGGGGACGAATCCCTACCATTTAGCAGCCTCACAAAAGTTCACATCTCTTAATGTGCGGCACGTTTCCAGAAATAAGCAAGGGAGAAATGAATACTCCTCCGCACCTCCGCCAGGATGAAATGGGCCAGGACGCCGCTTTCTTAAAAAATGGGGTGGCTTCCGGTGCTTAATCAATAAATAAAGAAATCATGTTCCTCACCACCGGTAGCATGAGCAATAGCACCGCTAACTACTAATTTTTGCCGTTTACAAAAGCAAACCATTAGTGTATATGTACACATATATATTTTTTATAAAAACCACTACACATTTCTTTTTCCTTCCTTCCTTTACTGAGGAACACAGAGGGAGTGCGCACTATTCTCTTAAGTTTTCGTCTAAGGGAACTTGCGAAATTAGATCCGAACTACATTAAAAATACCACCCCACCCTCTAAAAAAACCCATGAAATAAAGATTTACAATTGACCACTGTTACGAAAAAAGTAAAATTGCAATGTGATCAAGTACTCTATATTCTGTATAGCAAACGGATATTTATTATTGCTAAGGATAAGCGCTGTTCAAACATACGGCAAATCAACAATGAACATCCAACAACGAGAACAGCAGGGAAAATAAACAAATAAACTTCCGAAAAATCACCTCAAAAAAGTAGATTGTTGATGCACGATGGCATGATTGGAATAGCACCATACCAGATAGGAATATAATACATGTTGATGCGGCGATTCGATCGATGTCTTCACGATTCATTATACATTCGAATACCTGAACAGCCAGTCGGACACAGACTTCTAGCCGATCAACAGAATTCTGTGATACATCACTGATAAACGCTCATATCAAAAGAGCAATGCGATACGAGCGAAAAACAACTTCATTCTATTCAACAGCCACATACTCTTTAGATCACACGCCATTTCCCCTCACGTCAATACATGCTCCCTGGTCACGATGTAAACAGCACGTGACTGCCTTCGCTCGCGTTCCGCCTCGGCCTGCACATTAATTGGAAAAAAGACCGCACTGGTTATGTATTGATTACGGGGGAACCCCGCGATTGCATGTTGTGGATAGTGGCGTTCACATACAAACCTTTCGTCGCTCAGTAACCCTCCAGGTACGAATACAGTAGCAAATATCAGGGAGACATCCAAGTAAGGACCTGGTAAAACCTCTGGAAGAGTTCTTCGGACCTGCTAGTTTTATGCCAATAAATCGATATCCCGTAGCCTCTGGATCACTAATCATTTCTTTGTGCCATCAAACGCTTAACAGTGAAAAATTAACAAAAAACACTGAGTGAAACCTGCTTGTGATAGAAAAACCTTAGGGTTTTGGTGGGCGGGACAACTGGGGAGGGTCAAAACTGCTTTCTATGAGGGCCGCAGCGCCTTCGTACCTATAGCAGCCGAGAAAAAGGGACAATTTTGAGCTGCATGTGCGGACCAGAATTAGGGGGAAGGGGGGGGGTAAATAGCACATGTGAAACAGGAAAAGCGAGACATACGATACCCCTCCACCAATTTTCAGAATTTCTTCAACTCCTTGCCCTTTTTTTCCCAAAATTTCTCGAAAAATTCCTCTACTTTTTACCAGAAATTTTTGCTGTCGAGGGGGGCATATAGTACGCATGAAACAGGAAAATCACCAAAAGTCAACCACCACTCCTACAACGCCAAAACGTAAATACGACCCCCCCTCCCAAAAATGGCAAGTTACGACCCCAGTGCCCTTACAACATCCATAAGAGTGAAAAAATCATTTATCAAAATAAATTGTTCCTAGCCCAAA